ATGGAAATTTATAATATAAATATTATTACTTTCATTCGGATAAAGAAAATTATTCCCATTATACATAATATTTCATATAATTAAGTTTTAATCAGTGGACATTATTATTTATTGTATCTCATTATGAAAATATCAAGATTTAGAAAAACTTTTAAAGATACACGAATAATACAATTTTAACAAATGATAAATAATTTTATTCAATTAATGACCGTATTTTCAGCTAAATAAATTAATTTAAAAAGCTACAATTATTATTTATTATTTTTAAGCTTTTATCGGACTATTGTTAGTTTCAATTCCATCTCTACAATCGTTCTATACATTTTATTACACACACATATTATAATGAAACTATAAGTAAGTTCATGTTTACGTTGAAATCTTTTAATAAGCTTGAAAATGTTGTTTTGAATGTAGTTTGTTGATCTAATAGATACTCCTCCACGCCTTTATTTTGAAATCTACCTTCTTATAATTCATGCGCTAGTTTCCCCTCGTATTGCATACTCGATTACGGCCGATTTCAATGGCATAATGAAAATATGATTAACATTGCAATTAAATACCCAAATAAGTATAAGAAATTACATGCATATAATGCTTTACGTTTTATATACTAATTACGCGGGATGCTAATTTCTCATTAGTTATTGAATTATCAGATAGTAATGTGTAAGGAAATTTTCAAAATTTTCTATAATAAAATATAACTGGAATAATAATAATAATATAATAATAGAAATGTTTTATTAAATTATTAAACATATAAAATTACTATTTAATTTAATATATTTTTGATATGTAAATTACTATAATGTTAGTAAATAAAGATTAATATGAAAATTACAAGAGAAATTACGAGAAAATGGATAAATTTCTATTAATAATTTTCTATTAACAAATTATTACTATCAACTTAAACATAAAAGTTCACATATTATTACATAAAATTATCGAGTAGTACTTTGTTAAAAGTTTCAAATGATTTCTAAATATACGATTTATTTTCAAATATCTCAAAAATCAACGATATTTTGAAATTTTATTTCATTAGTATCTTATGCAATACTTTTAAATTACATTTTGCATTAACAAAGCATTAAAAAATATGAAATTTTAAATAATGCAATGCTTTTAAAATTCTTTATAATACAATAAATAAAGTGTATTCATTATTTATGAAATAACTAAGGGTCCGATACAATTTTATATCTACATAAATAACTTTCAAAGCTTTCACATAAAATATATTATTTTTACAATTTCTGTAATATATTTCAAAATCAAAATTATTGTACATTAGTATATACTGTTCATCTTCATTTAAAATTATTTGCATTAATTAATATAATTTTACTTTACAAATATCATTACAGATATTATAAATGTCGATAATGCTTAGAGCGAAATTATAATACCAGGATATAAAAAAATTTAAATACATATACATAATCCTATTTAGATTTTTTTAAAAATATATACAAGATTTTTATTTATCAAGTAAAAATGATTAAATAAATATGAATGCACACACAAACACACACGCACGCACAGATAGAGACACGCGCACGCACGCACGCACGCACGCACGCACGCACGCACGCACGCACGCACGCACAGATAGAGACACACGCGCACATAAACGCACATGCGCGCACGCACAGATAGAGACACACGCGCACATAAACGCACACACAGGCAGAGACACGCGCGCACATACACAAATAAACTTTTATTTAAATTAAATAATGACTGGAGCATATAGTAATTTAAAATATACAGTGATTAAACTTATAATTACGTAATTCTTCTAAGCTTATTAGTTAGTCGTGATTCATTTATATATGTCATGCTTTCGTTGCTGATAAAATTCGATAATTTTTCTTAATAGTCAATTCATTATATAAAACTTTTGTGAATAATGACTTTAAATCGTACATTAATAGCGATGTAAATGAAAGTAATTTGGACTTATTTTGTCGACATACTTAATAATACGTCATTGGTGAAAATTATGAATTCAAAGAGTTTCAAATTCAATATATAATGAAGAAATAATTGATTTATGGTTCTTTTCATTATTCAGATTGTTATATATTTTAATTTTAAGAGGGAAATGTGATGATTAGCTTTATAATTAAAAAGTAGGCGTTTTAAGATTAAACAGGTAGTCTTATACAAATGAAAATAATGGTGGTAATTGTAGAATTTTAAAAATAATCCATCACTAAGCAACGGCTTAAGAAATAATTCCGATTATGTATAATTATCTTTTGATATCACACATGCAATATTGTCTTTTTTGACGTAAGAATACTTATACGATATACATTTCCTTTACATAATATCTACCTCGGTAAATTTTCTAGATAAATCACAGCGACTTTAAAGCGCACGATTATAATTCACGTAAAAGTTACATGCGCCGACTGTCAACGCATTTCTTAATTCTAAACAAATAATGGCAATTACACATATCCATCCTAATAGTTCTATTTTAATAACATAAACGCACACACCCACGCAGCCTTTGGCTTTCGGTGGCTCTAAACACACCGCAAAACACACCTCTAAACACCGGTGTTCGAAAATTTGAAAAGTCACACGGCATTTCGCGCGCTTAAAACTACACGTTGGCGTACGTTGTGCTTGCGAGAAGGACGAACGAAAAGTTCTAGACGAAAGAGTAGATGTACATTATAGGAACGGAGATGCATACGAGGAGAGATAGAGAGAATTTGAGACCACGGTAGAAGAAAAAAAAATGCCAAGATTTAATACAAGTTATCCCAGTAGTAAGGACGAACTCTAGCCAAAACTGTTAAAATACGGCATTTGAGGCACATTGTGACTATGGCATGAACGTGGGGCTGTTACGTCGTGTGATACACCGGTGACTCGAGCCACAACATCTTCCCTCCCTCATTGTAAATTGTTGATCAAGCTTCCTAGCGACCTCTCTCGTGTGCGACCACTGCTCTTCTCTCTCCTCATCAACGTCTTTATCTTTGCTTCTCGCTCAAGTTTGTCGGCCAGCCCATAATACCTTCCATAGCCAGTTTTCTTGCTAACTTACATTTTTCGACATTACGCAATGTTACTATCGTTATTCTTATCCAATTGGCCATTTACTGACGGTCATTATATCCTCCTCCTCCTCCTCCTCCTCCTCCACCTCTGCTTACGCCCACAAACTCATCCCTACTTCTTTTATTGACTAAAATCGTCTTGAGACGATGATCACGAGAATGCTTGCACATCGTCGACCGAGCCAAATCACGTTTCGCTTTTTTATTAATTCGCAAGTTTATTTCAGATGGAACGCCACTAATATCTTGCCTTCAAAATTGCTAGTCTTGCCCACGAATAGCCTAGTGATTTTAGTCGGGAAGTCAATGATTTACGAGCAGATTCTTGACTCAATTACCGTTCATTTAAGCCTTTACTTCTCATTAAAGAAAAAAAACAAAACAAAAACAAAAAAAAAAACAAAAAAAAAAACAAAAAAACAAGAACAAAAAAACAAGAACAAAAACAAGATATATTTAACTACTATTAAATGAATTTTGTATGGAGAGCTATAACTAAGTAATTTTTTTTTATTAGGACTAGTTGAATGCACTTAAATTCATTAATTTACTAGTAAAAGCTACAATAATCGTAATACATATTTTATTAGAATTATAGATTTTCAAAAATTCTTAGGGAAATTACTATTAAATTATAACTAAATTTAATACTGTTTTTTTTTTTGTTTTTAATAACTATTATTGATTTTTATAATGTTAGCTAATACATTCAGCTTTACAACAAATGATGAAATTGTGATTAATTATAATTCTGTTATAGATATAATAAATTTGAAATAACAAATAATTTATGTTGAGCGAAATTCTTTTTGATTAAAGGAAATCACAAATTTTTGATGCTTTCATGTTACAAAGTCTGACAAAAATAGAATTGATTTTATTAATGATATAATTTTCTTTAATTTGCAACATTAGTTATATATAGTAATCCACATCTGCCGAGTGATAATTTAAAGTCATTTTTATTATACCACAATGATGAAATAAAATGATCTAACTAATTTGTGGTAAACTTCTGCTCTTGGAAAGTCCTTGGCCTGTGCGAAAAGCATTTGTATGAAAACGAGAATACTGTTCACCACAGTACGTGAGCAATGAATCATACCGAAGAAACTTCCTTTACAAATATTTTCAGTTTAAAATATTGGACATTAAAGAGACGTTACATGATAAATTTAAGTTTATTCATTTACAAATTTAATATAAAATGAACCTGAAAAATGTATGAAATATGAGTTATTTTATTTAATTTGTTACAGTTATTATATTAATAATAAGTTCTTATATTTAATATATAATTAAAAATTATTTTTATTGTTCCCGTTGTTGTTGTTGCTGTTGTTGTTGTGGGCAATATTTTACAATATTATTCTAATAGATTCATATTTTTGTATTTGTTTTTAATAAGCCATTGTTAATTTTACATTACTTAAATCAAATATATACATGTTTGGCTAACTTTAATTTAAGAAAGTTAATTTATTTCAAATTTCTGAAACATGTACAACAAAAACACTGTTACAAATAATATCTTGTAAAAAATATAAAAGAAAAAAAGCATATCTTTATAGAATTATACAGATTGTTCGATTAAATTTTTATTAACAGTTATTAGATTATAATATCATACATTTAGGATTAAAGATTTGTCTAATATTTCATTTTTGGCTCAATGAAAGTCTGTTAAATAACAAAAATAAAAAGATATTAATATTTACATAATACTTAACTTTGTTACAAGTACAAACTATATATTTTATAATTTCTGTACTCGTGAATTAAAAATAAAATAATTGTTTTTTTAAATGTATGTATTTTTAAAATCTGAACAAACATTAGGCATTTCGGTTGGATTTTATGTAAATTGAATAGGACAGCTTGAAGTAAAGAATAAAAACTAGCCACAAGGCAGCGTAACCTGTTTATTCAAGCACTCAATATAAAATAAATAAAAATTGAAAATTTACCATTCAAGGACCTTCAAGTTCAATTACCTCTTCAAGGACCATTTTTTGGGCATTTAATACGTGTGCAAATAGCAAAATGATTGCTCTGATTGCATAAACATAAGTTGCAATTATTGAAAAATGTCATTCCTGGGCATTTATCTCCTTGCATATAGTCATCTAGAGATATAGAGATAGATAGATAGATAGATAGATAGATGGATAGATAGATAGATAGATAGATAGATAGATAGATAGATAGATAGATAGAGAGAGAGAGAGAGAGAGAGAGAGAGAGAGAGAAAGAATAGTCAATATTGAATAAAATTATTTTAAATTAAACTCACAAACTTTTGGTGGCAATGCACTTGTCACAGTACCAACTGTAAATGACATTGAAAAACATTAATGCCTAAATTGGATAATAAAGTAAATCGAATAAATGGTCAAATAAATAATGAAAATTTTATCCCTCATTTATTTGTCCATAAATTTATTCCAAATCAAAGCATTAATGCAAAATTAATTTTATTTCTTAACTCCCACTCACCCAACCTTCCCCCTCACCCTCCGCCGTACCATCTACGGATCTCTATTATTAATAATTAACTCAATAAATTGATAAACATTGACTTTGCAAAATTAAATCTTGCAAACCTTTGCTTTAACATAACAAGTATAAAGTGTATTGCGAAGTAACAAATAAAGAGTAAGGAGTAAGTAGTTACGCGCTTAGCTTAGCCTAATAGAGATATACTTTCTATCGATTGCACTCTAAAATATTTAACACTTAGCAACTTGTTAGCATTTGATATATATATATATATATATATGCAGTGCTCGTTACCGACTTGAAGTGTTGGTTAGTAAGAGGTGTACTTATAAGTCAAGAGCAGCTCTAATCACTCGCTGGAGTTTTTATCAAAGCAGGGTGAGTCAAATGTTTATAAACTAACAAAAATATTTAAATTACATAAGTTGGAGTACAATAAGCTCGTTGAAGGTTCTATTCAATTTCAATTAATATTATTGCACTTATTTACGAAAGCGTCTATAAATTCTTTAGAAATATCGCTGAGATATTATATTTGAATGTAAATATGGCGAGAAATTATTTTTCATGTTGCATTCACTTTACATACAAAAGTTTACAATTAATTCGTGACTGTGAATTCGCGAAATATGTAATACACCATTTGCTTTAAAGATTACTCATAAAATAATTTTACTCTTATGATTTGTTAAGAATTGCCATTATTTCGGACGAGTTGTAAAAAGGTTAAAGAAAATTGATATCGCTCGAAAGAGGGAGAATCTGTAGATCGTCGACAGGATTCGACATCATTCGCTAACTTACAAAACACAAATGATAATGTGCCGTTTATTATGTTACTATTACACGACGACATGTTTATTATGATTACTCGAGTATGTTGAAGAAAATTAACTTAAGTGTGAGCACGAGTGAGTTTGTTTTTTAACGAAATTATTTTACTTATTTTAAGTAGGATTGTATAAATTGTAATTGAGATACGAATGTGAACATATAAGCAGTGAAATAATGAGTTTCACAGATTCGTTTGAAATTTGGATTGTACTAAATCTACATAAACTGAATGTAAAGATGCTAATAATACGCATTAAGTCATTAAATATAAATAAATAAATAAATACAATATTGCCTATGATAATTAATATTAATATAAATACATGGAAGTAGGTAGAAAAATTTGGACTTTGTGATTATATATATATATATATATATATATATATATTACAATTGGTAAAGTTTTATAGCTTAATTTTAAAAGAATAATAATTATTTATCTTTAAAGTCAAGCAAATATAAAAAAAAAATTCAATATTTTACACATGATATCTAAATGATGATTAGAGTATTAACGATTGGCAATAATTATTAACTTACCGGTAAAATTTTCTGGTAAAGCTGAAACAGTTAAAACCATAGTTAGAGATACAATAAAGAAAAGTAAGGAAGCCATGGTAACTATTGAAATTGCTAAACTAAATTCACAGTTCCTCCTCTTTTTATATTATTTTATCGCCTAAATTTACTTACGTTAATTATTATTCACGCATGGCTACGATCAATGCGAGTGTTATCATTTTAACTCTCTGATAAGAAAGGCACATGCATATTTATTTTCTTGAACACTATCACATATGTTTGTATAAATACATTTATAAATAGATCTAAAAATTAAATACATAATAATTTTTATCGAACGAAATCATTATTAAAATATAATATTGAAATATGATAAGATTCTGATGATTCAGTTTATTTTACTTTAAACTCCATTGTTAATTCTACTAATTATATAATTGTTTTATATAATTGACATCATTTTATATAATATGTCTATATATTTTTTGTTTATTCTTTTATTAATTTCATTATATATATATATATATATAATTTCTCAATGATAATTTATTATCCGGTTTCAAATGTACATTAATTAATAAATCTCTTCGGTAATGCAAATAAAATATATACTAAAAGTGTATGTAAGTATTCATTTACAGATTTAAATTCCGAATAGATAATAAAAGAAAAGAAGGAATAAAGTTTTGATTAATTTCGTTAAATATTATTGATCTAAAACAAAATAGGAGAAAAATTACTAAAAAAAAGTTTTAATTTTAATGAAATTGAAAAATTTTGAACGAAATATTGCATGCAAATAATAATTGTTAAGAAACCAAATTAATTCATTAAAACTAAAGCTTTTCATTACAGAAATTTAGTAGCAAAATAAAGAAAATTTGTTATTACTAGCATATCAATAAAAAATATGATTATATTACATTATTATATTATTGCAAGTTTCATAAAATATTTACGATTAAACTTAATAAAATACATTTACATATATAAAGTAAAAACGATAAAAAAAATTTACGTAGTATGTATTCAAAATTTACAAAACGACTTTAAGCATTTTATTTTATTCGTGCTTTTAATATATTTTTTTATATTTACAATCATTACTTATAAACTTTGATATGGTAGAATAATAATTATTAAATGATTTTTTCATTTTAACTCAAATGGCACTTTTAGCTTGCAAGAACTCCTTTTATATTATTTAGAAGTGAAAATTAAGTGAAGTAATTGCGAATGATGTTTTACAATCTCTGTTGCTTATTTTATAAATATTCTATTTACAATAATTGATAGTTATTTAAAATAACAAATTGAATTTATTTATTGACTTAAAATAAAAATGGAAACATTAAATATATTTGGCATGTACAATGTATTTTTAAAAAACTGATAATTAAAAAATGTAATATTTACCATATAATAAATATTTACTATCTTTATTTTAACTTACATATATATATATATATATATATATATATATATTATACTTCATACCACTATTTTATATTACATTATAACTGAAATTTCAATCTAAAAACAATATTGATAGAATTATGGATTTTAATCTGTTTTATATTGAATACATCTTGCTCATTGTAGTTGGAGACATAATTAATGAAAAGTGAAAGGTGTAAATTCAGCAAAGAGATGAAATATTTGCTTCTTGAAGTTTCTTAAATCAGCGAATATTACTTTGTTCCATTCGTCAATATTCTAAACGAACCATCCCAATTGATTTATATGTTTTTACACGATAAACTTTTATTTATATGGCATCGTCATTTCAGCAATTAAATGAAATTGTAATTCACTTTATAACATTGATTATGATTCTTATTTGCGTAATTTCAATTTTGAAAATATGCCTTATCTTATGATTAAATTTAAATAGAATTCAGGTCATTCGAACACGCGTCTCTGATTTTATTATTACTATTCCTAAACATAAAGCTATTCAGAAATCAACATCCATCAGTGATTATTCTAATCTATAATGATACTTATTACATGAAAACACGCGATATTGCATTATTTTAATGTTTTTTTTTTTTGTTGTCTTTTATAAATTTTTTTATTTCTTACAATCCATAATAAAATATGCTCACCTCTTTAATCTTAGGTATTCGATGTGAATATTTGAATGACTAATTTAAAATATTCATCCCCAACTGCTGAAATAATTGCTCTTGCTTTATTCACCAATCAAGTTCTTTTCAGTAGTTATTACAGTTTTAAGCAGTTAATAATAGCGAATTTACGAAAGGACTTCGAAAATTTTAAATATTTGATGAGAATTAAAAGTTCCATAAGACTATACGTTTGGTCAAATTATTTTTCTTACGCTTAAATTCCATTTTAAGTGTTTATGACTCACTGCTAAGAATAACACATACATACCTTTTGCCAATGATTTGCAAATGTATATCTATATAATCCATCTACATCATGAGCATGAATGTGGTAGTGGAGTAATAAATAACTGCATATAAATGATTTCACATTTAACGATATCATATTAAAGTTTCGATTTTCTATTTTATTCGATTTATGGTGCCGAATAATATATATTTCGTAGCAATTATATTTATTCCTAATGCAAATAATTCTTTAACAATGAGGTGTCAAATATTAATCTTTGATTATTTTTGTTGTTGTTTGTTTTCCATTTGATACTTGACCAACGCTACATATTATATCTCATCTCATACTTTTCTAAACGTATTTTAAAAAAAATTCATAATGCATAATCAGCTATTTAATTTCATCTGTCAATGATTACATTTCATAATCTTTCTTCATTACGTACCAACGATCTTCTTTCTCTACTTTCACTACAACTCCTGCAATTTTAAATACGATTTCAATACTATCTCTTTCATTAAATCTAAATTGTATTAACGTTTCGTTTCAAATGGAAAATCTATCCTTTTTGTTGTTCTATATTAATTTAATAAGATTTTTTTAAAGCTTCAATCCAATTGTATAGATAACAGCTCATCACCTTTTAATATCACTATTGTATTAATTCATTATAAAATATCTAGGATTTTGATTGATAAATTATTTCCTATTCAAGGTAACTGCGAACACAACACATTATTATTATCATTATTATTATTATTATTATTATTATTATTATTATTACTATTATTTTGTTAATAATAATATATTTCTACTTTTACAATTAATGTGAATTTAAATACTTGCCTAGGAGGGAAATGATCTTAATTAATTTATCTTGATTCTATATAAAATCTCATATACCTTACTTTATATTATATAAAAAGAGGTTGTTCGGCATGGGAGTGATTGTCAAAAATTTTCAAATATTTTCTTTTCATAAATTGGAAGTAAAAATTCACTCTATTCCATCGAGATACTCCTACATTCAAATAAAAGCATTATGCGTCAGCTTATAATATGTTATTAACTAATTATATTTTTTAAGCTTAGCTAATCGAAACATTAGTTTATCGTTATTATCTTGCTTCACTTTTAATTGATTAATGATACCTAGCAATCTCTTAAAATTAGAATTTTTACTGCAAATTAAAATATCTATTGAATTATATTTTACATTGGATTAAAAATTGATTAGTTAAGTAAAATATTTTTTCATTTATTAGGTGGAGAGCATTTATATCTGTGCTTAAATTACGGATTTTATCACAGATTATATAAATACGGTAAGGTCAACATGTAAAACAAGTACAAGTCAAACAGTAAAAAAAAAAAAAAAAAAAAAAAAAAAAAAAAAAAAAAATACTAGTAAAGAAAAATTATTTTATATTTTATCGAGAGAGAAGGGAGAGAAGGAGGAATGCATCATTAATCAATAAAATAATATTCATAAACTGATTTTGTATTTTAATTAAATTCATGCTAATAGATAATTTTTTAATTTTTATTATTAAACACAAATATATGTGCTATAAACATAGAAGATTAGTAATGAACATATTGAATTCAATCAAATTAAAATATTGTAATAAGATAAACAAAGGAATATCGACAGCCTTTAAACGTTTTATCTTCAGCAAAATTTATAATTATACATACAAAATAATAGAAAAATATATAATCATAAGCAAAAAATCTAAAAAATAAATCTTATTGAATATTATGCGCGCTTGTGTGTGATTTGATCTTTATGTGCGTGTATGTATATTAAATAAAAAAAATGCTAACTATTATATTACAACTGAAATAATTAAGACAGAATTTCATAATTAAAAGGCAAATAAAGATCATGAGTAGCTATTCTCTAGCTACTCCCGTTCATTGGCTTTCTAATTACATTTCTAATTCCTTTTTCTTGCTTTCATGTTGATTCATACGAGAAATTTTTAAATTATATCAACATTAGTCATTTGCTAGGTATTTTCAATTAAAATAAAAGTGCTTTATCTTGTAGTATTAATGATTTATTTAGTAATTTATATTTACATAATTAAATAACTACCTTTAATAATGTGATATTACAATTACGATTAATTTAATTTTTTGTACTTTTATATTTTATAAAATATGATTAAAAATGCATGACTAAAAAATTGTATAAACGATTGTGTATTATAAGCATTATTTTTGATATAATTAATATTTGCGAGCAATGTTACGCTTGGAGGATTAGTTTCCTTGTTTACATATGGAACAGTGCAAATTGCACATTAGGACAGTAAAAAAAAAAAAAAAAAAAATACCTCAAAATACCTGAAAATACGTGAAATTACAGATAAATGCTTTTATCATCAATAATAATAAAATTTTAGTTGAAACATCCTTGACCAGCCGTTCATCAATATATACTGCTTTTATTGTAGTAGTTGAACATTACTTCGATATTATTATTGTTATAGATTTCAAAAGAAGGATTAAATTTCAAGAAGGATATTTTACACTTTAGGCTATATTTGAAAATGAAAATAGAGTATATATAAATGATAATAGAATATAATTATTAGAATTCAATAATTAATTAATATCTTGATTGTCAATTTATAAAGAAACATGACAATACATAATAATCGAAAGTTTCATCGTTTATGAAGCTCAAGGTATATTTATAAATCGGAATATTATCGGAGAGAAAAAATGAAAAAAGTCATTGTCGCGCATGTTTTCATGTTTTTTTTTTGTTTGTTTGGATGGCCTCGTGACCAGTTCCAAAGCAATTTTGGTCCATCATAAAGCGTCAAACAATCGACTCACTTATACATTTAGTGTTGCATAGTCACATTAAATAAGAAAAAAAAGATTATACAGAGCAAATAGACGCACGTAGTACATGTAGAGCAAAAAAAGCCAATATGCACTTTCTCACATGATATTGCTTGCTCTACGACCTGCGCGAGACGTATAAACATACTTTGGCTCACACAACGGATCATGAGTCATACAAGAAATGGAGATAGAGACACAGAGAGATATATAGATAGATATATAGATAGATAGATAGATAGATAGAGAGAGAGAGAGAGAGAGAGAGAGAGAGAGAGAGAGAGAGAGAAAGAGAGAACGGGTTCATAGATCCTCGAGAAGATATCCGGCACCTTGTTCGTATCATTAGCGCACGGGAGATGGTATGACGCAACGAGATTTTAGTTCTATACCTCCTATGATCTATACATTGTCCCTTCCCCGTATCCCGCAACACAAACATACATACTCACGTGCGCGCGCAAATTAAACAAAGCAATTCTGTCCTCCATGGATGTGTATGTAGGATAAGAGAGCCGCTGCAGACGGACAATGTACCGTTAAACTACAAAATCTTACCCTGTGACCTCTGACACTGCGCTCGACCGAGGTACAGAGAGAGAGAGAGAGATAGAGAGCGGATTGTTTGTTTTCAGAGTATAGCGGAGGCTGCAGAAGTATGACGCTCGAGTTTGTAACGAAGCCTCTGATGGATGACATTGTCTGATCCGTTCGGAACGCGCGAGTATGTGCTGTGGTGAGCGATGGGTCGCGGTGGAGTGGGACGCGGAGACGAGGGAGGAGACAAGGAAGAAAGACAGCAGATGCCACGGTGGGAGCCGGTGGGAGCCGGTGGTAGCCGATGGGAGCCCGCTTTGTTAACGGGGATTTATAAGCGAGCGCTTGTTTGGCTTGCGATGAAGTGCCCCTGTGACGGACGACGGGTGATCGCGTGTCGCCTTTAATCGGGACACGCGAATTCGTCGGCACCAGCACGCGAGGAGTCCTTTTTTTCAGGGTTGAGCAGCACGAGCAGGAAAGTGTTAAGGCGGCCCATAAACGACTCTATTGTCGAACGAGGCGCTCTCCTTTCCTTTTTCTTTTCTTCAAGCGGTCTCGATTTATTTCTGCGAATGTCCCTTTTGCTAATGACGCTGCTTTCCGATGCCACTACTTTATCGCGACGCCCATCTCTTGCGAGACTCTGCTCGCTGGATCACAAAGAAGGATTGGGGATTGGGGATTGGGGATCGAGAGTGCTGCATTTTAATCGAACTAAAAATAACTCGGCTTAAATGACAGCCGCTGATGATGGTTTTGCATATTTTCAAGTTATAACGCCAGTCTCGGGACTTGAAAATCGTGGGAGGCCTTTCAGCACAAACTGTTTTATGAACTTTTAATCTCTGTATTCAGGTTGAAGCGAGGCTTACCTCAATAACTCCTTGTAGAAAAGGACTGAGAAATCCTACCGGTTCAAACGGCTCTTACGATATCTTTAATAACATTATTTTACAAGAAAGTAATTATAGTAGTAATTATGTAAAGAGGTTTGTTTTACGTATGCGCCTCTCAATCCACTTAAGACGTCCTTTAAGCAAATTATCAGGGATATTCCGAATCATAGGAAAATAAGGAAATCGTTCGCTCTCATACTACAAAACTGCTGCAGAAATTTTGAAAGTTTTAAAAGCATCTAAGACTACTTTCACATATAAATGTTCGATCATATAGTTTGGTATTTTATATTGGCCATTAATTAATTATATAATTCTCGACATAAATATCGAACGTACAAATGAATGAACTTTTATCGCTCGACAAACTCCTTACAACTTTATATTTATTGATCATGTTTTTCACGGTACTGTGATCAGTAAAAATTTCAAATAACTTCACGATATTTTATACAATAATTGCATGGATTGCCAAGATAATAATTGATTGCGATATGTTAATAATTATTTTTTATATAATTTAAATGCACGTTGATGTTAAAATGAGAATTCCCTTAATTCGTAATATTGTGCTTTTCTACACAAATTATAATTATTATTAAGTATTATCGCACATAACAGGTTGCCTGTCTTCCTTAATCCATTACGAGCTGTTTCAATTTTCCTTATCGTAAATTTCATTCAATTGTCATAGGGAAATGTTCCATCGAACATGACAATTTTGATTATCGTTAATACAATCTGAGAAAATAAAATAAAATAGTGTTACACTATAATGCCAAAAATACTACTAATGTTAATAAAATTAAAGCAATTTTATCTATCGATATAATTGTCTTTTTCGTCGATTAAAATCTTTTTTTATAATTATAACTTAAAGATTAATCCTATAAAATTAGCCGTAGACTTTGCGTTAAATATCAAAATTTCGTTGAAAAGTATTTGATATTTTTTATTTATATATTATTTTTTCTTTTTAACGCATTTATCGCGATAGGCATATTTCAAAGTACTTGCTTAATAATGGAATATATAAATACTATTGGCTCTCAATGACGATATAAAAATTACCAAAATCTTGACCGTAAAGCCAACATAATGACCATCGATTAAAAAGCATTCGAAATGATTTTCAAAATGCGATTACAAACGATAATATTAAATCCTATCGCCTATCTTTCATCTCCTCTCGTCATTTTACACTTACAATTTTATCAATTTATATCGGTCCTTTTCAACATGACCTTCTAACGGTGCTCCCATGTGTAAATGACGTACGTCAACCGTTTTTCACTCGGTCTCGTTTACCTTTAACACAGAAATACAGTTTTACCGGTTACCGATTGGCCTTTAACAACGACAATGCAACGGAAGCGTACGCTCATGTATGTCATCATTGTAATCCGATGAAATTTTGATATCTAACTACGTGACCAAGTATATTTACAAAAAGAAAGAGTTTCTCGCTTATCGCGATGGAAAGTGAAGAAATGATTTACACATTTGGCACGTCAATGTAAAGCCAAGCTCATCGCTTATTAAGTATCATTATTCAAAGGACGCCCCAACCCAAACTCCACTTGCCACTTGCGTGTAGAAGGTATCGGCGGAGAGAATAAAAAATAATAATCAAAACAAAAAAAAAAAAAAAAACAAAAAAAAAAATAAGGCATCCCAATAGAATTCAAAGCAATATTTTCGAGTCCCGTTCTCAAAAAGGATTTTAATGGATTATTTGGATTATTGCGTGCTCTCCTTCACTTCAATATTTATCCAATGCGTGTTAAAACCGGCTATGGGTTTTGAAAGTTTTAAATATTCGCGTCACTTTTTAAGGACGCGGGACATCTGTAATGTAGCATCGGTGTTTTGCTTAATTTTTTCTTATTATTTTTCATACTTTTAACATAGTCATGGCGTCCAACGTAATTATATGTAAATATATGAAACTCTACGTTTTAACGCATAGAGTCGTACATTCTTATACTCTTTCTTTCATATTCGTATAGAATTAATTTTTATAGAAACTGACGCCCATATATTTAATCGTTAAAAATTCTTCTATTTAAGTCTCTTAATTTTAACTAAAGATTTTGAATTTTGTAAAATTTGGTGCTATTGATATGGTTTTTTATTCTTAATCTATCCTGTGGACCAAGAAAACCAAGAAAAGTCTGGAAAATCGCATGACTATCATATCCACTCAACGAATGTTGACTTAACAAAAAAGAGAAAAAAAAACATTTTATGTTGTAATGACCAATCAAGTCAATATTTATGCAATATTTATATACATGCGATACTATTAGAGATACTAATATAATTGTAAATTAATAATCCTTCTATATATGTAATTATAAATTTAGTACAATCGATAGATCGTAATAATGAAAAAACTGAAATAGTAATTATGAGCCTTCGGATTATTTATTTTTTCGTACGAATTCCTATTATTCCTCTACGGCTCTCTATGTATAGGTAAATGATATACGTGCATTTGGTGCAAGAGCATAAAATATCTAATACTTGTCAATTAGAAAACATAATGCACGTGCCAGGGATCTCCATCTTGAGTAAGATTTAAGACGTCTGGGGCGAGCTTTCAAAATGTTTATACTTTGTATAAGCAGCGAACGTCCGGTATCGATAAGGTCAAATTCTCAAAAGAGAGCATCGTAGTGAGATTAAGGAACAGAGTACGAGGGGTAAAAAGATATACATATACGTATATATACATACATATATATATATATATATATATATATATATATATATATATATAATATATATAGTGGAAAGAAAAAGTGAGAAGAAAAAAAGATGCCAAAGTAACAGTTTCTCGTTACTTACAGGCGCTCTCGCACACATAACGCGCACGCGCTATCTCTCTCTCTCTCTCTGTATCGCGTATTCCCACCCTCCCGGCCACCCCTTCTCGCCCGACAAACCGTGTCCGAAAAGCATTTCAGTGTTATACGAGAGCAGGCAACCCGAAAACCGGTTTCCACGACTTTACGTATACATTAGTAACGTAATACAGGGTAATACATGACGTTGGTTGCGCGGCGCGAGCCAGCCTACATATGTGCGCGCGTCGCAAGCTCGGCTCAATGACTCGCCCGCCTCCCTGCCCGCGCATCCAACCGACGGCCATCATGGAACGATCGTTCTCCCCTCCCGCCCCAGCCCAACCCATCCCCTTGCGGCCCGTTACGCTCGGGAGAAAAGCATCGTTCCCGTCCGGCTTGGCGCCTACCTCTCAGCGCTCCTCCCGTCGCGCGGCTGTGGCCAGAAGCAGCTCTGACCTTGTCAAGGTCACGCTGTCCCAAATGCCTCAAGGGGCCCTTTCGCAATACCTTTTCCCTCCTCTCCTCGGCGGCCTTCTTCGTCGCCCCCGCCCTCCACCCCCCGCCCCGGGGGCCCATCGTTTTGCGTGAGCGCGTTCGAGTCGAGAAAGTCGACCGATCGGCCGGGATTTTTGCAGGCGGGCGGCCAGTTCCGTGTCCCTATGATCCCGTACACGGGCACTCGGCCGGATACCATTGGAGCGATGGGGCAGATGGATGATGGGCGAGTGGACGAAAGTGCATTGCGCCGCGAACTGCCGGCTGCTTGGGCCGGTCCGATTGCTCCCGATTTCGCAATGAATGAAACTTGTGCGAGACGAGGAGAGTTTTATTTGCGCTGACCGGCGTACAGAATGACGTGGCGGGCGCCGAGTCCTCCCCTCCCACCCACCATCACCCACCATCGCCCCCTTCCATACAGCCTCGCTCGCTTTTTCGGCCACGCGTTCATGTGCCGTCCAAGCTTACGGATATTTATGCACTGCGTTGCATTTTATGGCCGAGTATAAAGCTGCGAATACGGCTTTATATGCGCGAGTTTGGCTCCATTGGCTGCTCGGCATGTTAATCGGAATTTCCGTTAAATTTGATTTTATTTAGTAAGCAAAAGTTAGAGTCTGTATTGATGAATTTCCAGAATAGACGGCCACATGCTCATCGCGTTTGAGATTTGATATTGGATGGGTCCTTTAATTCGAAAGGCTTTAATTAATAAAAGTCGTTGCATTTCATGACAAAGAAGGACCGAAGATGATAATGAGCTGATTTACATTTGTTGTAACTGACTAACTCTGAGATGGTAAAGCACCTGAATCATCCAACCTCTCCTATTTAATCTTTAACAAAAATGTTAATTTGGCAACTGAATCGATGCACGATATTATCCAACAATAGCGCCATACCAATAATAATTATTTAAATTCGGAATAATGTTTATAATAATGTAATGTCGACGTGTAATAAGGAGATGGCTGTTTTAGGTTCGATCGAAATAAAATTTTCATAAATTACGAATATAGCTCGTCGTTATTTAGCGAGTTATTTATTTTGTTTTTTTTTTTCAAATAATTTGCAATATTAATGGCACGTTTGGAGCCATCGACATTTCTAAAAACAATGCGCTTAAGTTTATATTGTATCGTGAAATGTTCACTCTGAATAATAATTGAAATTAAAAATTATGATATGATCACTTATTAAATAAGGCATATAATCATATAATATTTTTACGACCTTGTCCTTTTAAATATACCCTGTCATTTTTTTTTTATTAAATTCTACAATAATTATTATATCCATTGTAATATCAAGTTTTTTCTCTCTTTCCTCTTGTTCATTTTCTTTTTCTTTTTTATTTTGTTTCATTTTATTATTTATTTTATTTTCTCTTTCTTTCTTCACTTTAGCTTTTTTTTTTTTGTTTTTGTTTTTTTGTTTTCATTAAATTCGTTCACCACTAAAGAAACTTTCACTAGATATTAAAATTTATTCTTTTGTCCTTTATAAAAGTATGAGTTTCACGGAAGTTATTAAGTGGAAAAATTAACGTTTTGTTGTAAAGTTAATTTAATTTAAAAGATTAATGTTGTGATATCATCTTGATGTACTGTCTAAATGATTTATACGAATTTTAATTTAAATATAATTGAAATACCATTAAGAGTGCAATAATAACAATACTATTAACAACTATTATTGTATAGTAACTGCAAGTAATTGGTTACTAATTGCACTATAAATTATAATTTTTGATGAAAATTTGCGTTCGTTGTAGAGATTTAAGAGTCGGCATTACATCAAAAATATACATGATATTAAGTAAGTAAATAATTAAGAACATATTAGAAATTATGTATTAATGCTTAAGTTTTCAATTAGCTTTACATAATATAATAATTTCATTTGCCATCTATGTAAAATTTAAAAAACAAAAAACGAAAAAAACAGAACAAATCGTCATGAAGTTGATCCATCAATATCCTCGATCACTCCATCTCATATTGGCTTCTTAAAACTTTTGTAAACTTATCATTATTATTTAGTAGTCATTAGAGAAGAATTTTAATTTATTTCATCGTATACACGTGCAAACGTATACAGGAAGTCGCGGACAATTTTAATGAACATGCCGCATTGACCAAATGTTTTGTTAACTGTACTTTTCCATATCGTATTTTCTACTCTTTCGCGCATAACATCGGAATTAAAAATCACTCGAACGACAAATATAGGAAAATAGTAACGACCCCAGCGCAAACTGGTAGCACAGACACGTTTCTTGAGTTGACTCTGACTCTGAGAATTTTCTCTCTCTTTCTCTCTCTCTCTCTCTCTGTCTCTCTCTCTCTCTCTCTCTCTCTCTATCTCTCTCTCTGTCTCTCTTCCCTATTTCTTTATCACTCTTTTTTCTATATTCACTGTATATCCTTCCAAAGGTGAGCGTCAATCGCTTGTGAAATTGGATTGTGTTCCATACTCTCTTTTCACTCTTCATCTTTTGGTGGATTATATTTCCATTACACCAAGAGGGCAACTCATTTTTTCAGCGTTCGGTCCTCGAGAATTACTTTTGTTTTTTTTATTTTTCTTTTTCTTTTTATTATACATAATCGATGAAATTGTAGAAACAGTAATATAAAAATCGATGGACAATGAGGTTTCGATGATTCAAAACGAGTTCGCGATATCGACTCTTTTTATCATACTTTTTTCCATGCTGTATAAATGAAATTAACTTGAATTTTTATTCTTTTTCCTACTTATGTTACTTGACAAGACAGTATGATAAGTAAAAAGACTCCTAAGCTTTTTTCTATAGCAAAATTTAAGGAAATTTATAACCCGAATATAAACAGTGATAATTACAACAATTGCATAATTGCTATTTCAAATTTAATAATCATAACTTGAAATAATTAAAATCAAGTGCAAGAAACATTCATAAGAAATATTGGAAAACAATTTATAATTGTTTTATTTAAATTCGTGATAAATATTCGGTTCGATATAAATAGCACGGCTACTATAAGATAACCACAATTTTTTTTTTTTTTTTTTTTTTTTTTTTACGATCTTGTACATGTTCATTTACTCTCACCTACGTTATTTTTAACACGCACACGCTTGAAAAACGAGAAGTCACGAGATATCCCACTTGCTGATTTTCATATATTTCAAATGATCGTATTTTATAGATATTTTTCTTTTTACAATTTTATAAATAAACAAGAGATACGAATCGATCAAATTCCAAAATTTTGCATTCCACGCAGTACCGAAATTGCTAAAATTAATAAAATTATTCTCCAGTTTGAGAATTTTTATTGAAAACAATTACAGGTGAAATTTCATTTTGAGAAAATGTCAAAAAATCCTTATTTTCCAAAAAAGACTTTTACGAAGATTAACTTATAATGTTTACTATTTAAATTCGTACAAGTAAGATAAATCGAGTGTTTCATATGTCAATAGATTATTAACTATCGCATAACAACAATTGTATTTTATTATTAGATCACAAGGAATATGTTGTTTTTAATATTTTTAATGACACAACGGTGTGATAGAATAAAATATTATTTACTACAAGGTTGAAAGCTGATATTTTAATATATTTTGGGTAATGATAAAATTGATTTTCAACTAGAACGAAAAAATTAATGTAAACATTCATCCAAGTATGTAATGGATGTAATAATTGTTGCATTTAACTAATGATCGATAAGTGCATACATTGTATTAATCTAAAGAGTATCTATTTTACATTTATTTTTACGCTAATCACTTTAAAATATAAAATAAAATTAAACACATTCGATCATGTCAGGCTTAAACAAGAAAAAGGATTTTCTTTTTTTTCTTTTATTTCTAAATCATTCATTAATTATTCAAATATGAATATTTAGGTGGCTCGTACTCGTCAAGTAAAGCTTCATATAAAAATTACAATAATTCTGCTCAGAATTAGTTTCACAAACAATCCAAACACAAGAATTTTAATGGAAAGTTGTTCTCTTCGTTTGCTTTTGTCTTTGTCTTTTTTTTTTTTTTTTTTGTTTTGTTTATCGATATAACGGCCGCCAAGCAATAGAAACTTATACTTAAGTTGTATTTCTTTAATAACAATAGTTAAAAAACTTCGTTCAAACTATTATTATTATTATTATTACTATTATTATTATTGTTATACAATATACCGAATAGTCATAGAATGAGTGTGCACCATAATTAAAATCATTAGCACTTACAATCTCTACCGTCCCAATGTTTATTCTATTTAATTATAATCAATCAGCCGCGTGCCGCCTACCCACTAACGGTCAACTATCGCCAACAGAGAGCTCCGGCGTATCGGTAACTCACTACTTTCTCATTCCAGGAGCAAATCGGGCGAGAAGGGCACGAGCTGTCAGCAGGTCGCGGCGCCGCTGTCGTTGCCGCTGCCATTGTCGCCGTCGTCGCAGGTGGCGACGAGCCCGATGGAGCCGATTTGCCAGCCGAGCGGCGGAGGGGGCTTCGGCCGTTGGTTGCGCGAACACCTTAGTGTCAAGGGTGCCGAGGGTAAGACGGCCAAGCACCAACAGCAGCACCAACAGCGGAACCAATTACCCTCCCAGAATCTCTACTGCAGCCTGCCGAGGGAGAAGCCGAACGGCAGGAGGCTCGATCACCGCAGGGCTTCCTGCCGGATTACGAGCGAGAGGTCGCTTCTGGAGGAAGAGGCCGCGGCCTGCAAGAGGAAGTCCAGGGCCGCAGCGAGGGCCGAGCGCAGGAGGCACTCGATGAGCGAGTTACAGAGCGATCAACATCGGGCCAGGCGCAATCGCAGGTTGGTCCTTGTAATATTCATTTCGGATTTAATCTGCGCGCAATCCAGGTTCTGTTGTTCTTGTTACGAGACCGATGGTTAGTGATGACCACGTGAGTTTGGTATTTTAAATGATGAGATATCGGAGGAAATTCGTAACGGCGATGTTCGCTTAAACATCTCAAAAAACAGAGAGAGAGAGACAGAGAGAGTAGAGAGTAGAGAGAGAGAGAGAGAGAGAGAGAAAGAGAGAGAGAGAGCTCATTACTAAGTTTTTGTAAAAAACGATACGGTTGAGTACAAATTCGCAGAATAAGAAACCCATTGGAAGAAAATATTACGATTTAATCGGCGCTGAAACACGGGAATCGAATTTTCAGCTGCTTTTCAGCAGTAGGTTACTGGAATTGTCGGAAGTTAATGTATTTAATAATGCAGGGCAGGTTCGTGTAATACGGCTCTCACTGCGAAATAATACCACGATGTACTGTAGTGTATTTGAAATTTTTTAAATTCAGATGGGCGGTGTGACCGATGACTCTTTCGCTCGTCACTTTTTGCTTTATGGCGTACGTTGTCATTTATTTTACGCAATCCATAATGAATATAAGTGGGTGGCAAATTTTCTACAACATTAACTAAGCAATGAAGCATGATAACAATGAGAGAAGTAAACCACAATGCAAGAAATATCTATTGAGGAATAAATTTCAATATATAAGTATGTATATTTTATTAGCTTGCAATTATTTAATTTCCATTTGAAGTTTCGAATTTAAACAGTTTTTATTTTATAAAAAGAAATGAATGAGAGAGAGAGAGACAGAGAGAGAGAGAGAGAGAGAGAGAGAGAGAGAAAGAGTGAGATCATTCGAACGATCGTTGATTATTTAGTTATTAAAACATATTATATTTGTTGATCGTTGCGCTTATTTATGTCAAGCTTTTTATTTAGAAAATTTATTAAATGAATAAAACGGAAAAAATATAATACATGAAAAATAATATTGAAAACATGTAAATAAATAGCTTAAGAAATCTATTATTTATTGCGTGTAATATTATTAGGACGTCGTTTTCTGTTTTGTACTTTATGCACGTATCCGCTTGGAAAAATATGAATTAATTTCAAATAAAAATGTCTATGTCGAGAGACATTGATAGAATTATAATTTAATTATCAGAGAGATAACTGGGACATCTCAGATTACTAATTATAATGAGAAAGGTCAAAATTACTTTTCGTATTTATTGCTTTAGTCAGGCACAATAAAGAATTCTTTTTTATATCGTCTTCTTTAAAACAAACAAAAAGAAGACAAAAAAAACAGTGTTTAGCATAAAAAAATTAATTCAATGGTTAGAAAGAATTAAGTAAATAATCAATATCATTTGCTGTTGAAAAATTTAATCAACCATAATTAACTTCAAGAATGGTTAGATAAAATAATAGTATTTGTTCCTATTACGGAGCAAAATATTTTTGAAGAGGAATATTTTAATAGGTTATCCTTAAATTTATGCAAGAGATATAATTAATTCTAAAATTAAAAATTTATTATAATAAATTATCAAATATTCACGTTATTCTTAGTGATATAATCTGCCGTAATAGTCCAATACAACAATAGTCCAATATAAATTCACGATTAGAAGAATTTTATATTTGATAATAATATAAGCGATTAAATGTCGAAATTCTTAGTGAAGTCGTAATTCTCACAAAAATGTGACTAGAAGATATTTTATAGAGGTGTGTGTTAGCGCGCGCGTGGGCGTGTGTGCGTGTGATAAAGAGCGCATTGGCAAAAACTTCGGAAAGCTATTACTCTTTATAATAATATCCATTAAATTTTATTATATTTAATTGACATTTTGTTATATCTATATATATATATGTGTGTGTGTGTGTGTGTGTGTGTATATAACGCTCTTAAAGGACATTTAAACGAATATGGGAAAACTCATTAGCTATATCCGTTTGCCCGTAAATTCTTCGCAGGCGTTTCCTTGTACACAATGAAAATACCACCATAAAAACATTATCCAACATAAAATAATCTGAAACTGCTCTGGCAGCTGCTCCACCGTTCTGGCTGCAGTGCCAGCGCACTATCAAGCGAATTCCTCGCAGAAATCGAAACATACTCACGTCCTCGTATTCTTTCTTCTCTCTTGGTTGCTCAGCGCACATAGCATAATCCTCCGCGGACGACACCGCAGACCTCACCTTCGGTAACAAATATTAATGACGCTCGTCGCTTCCTACTTTTCCTCATCGCAATTCGGCTGGGCATTTTTGCTCCCTTGGCGACTAAATATAACCCGCGCAAATCTATTTATAAGATGACCTTAAGGAATAGTTTTTCCCTCGCATTTTTCTCACCGACGCAAGCACTCGCGCAACTGTCGCGCATAAGCTCATCGCTTATAACGCCTCGGATGCTGAAGAAGCACGCGGCATAAGCATGGCGATGATCATCATCATCCCGTATGCACATCCTCTACCTCCTTTTGCCTTTATCCTATGAAGCGTACGTATATACGATAGAAGGTATAGCCATAGCTACTTTGGCGCGCCCGAGGTCGACTCCCTCTCGGACAAGAAGAGGAGGTGGAGAATGAGGAGGAGGAGGTGGAGGACGAAGAAGTATACAAGAGTGTAGAGGCCACTGACTCGCCTCAACGAATGATTCCTTACTATACGTTTCAAGGCCGGACAACGACAGAGAAAGAGAGAGAGAGAGAGAGAGAGCGAGAGAACTAGAGAGAAAAAGAGAGAGGGAGAGAGAGATGACCAAGAGTGTGTCTAACATTATACGTTTCGTGAGAGGGATAGATAGAGGGAGGAGGGGGAAGCCGAGAATCGCGCGAATCATGAAGGGTGGAGGCAGGGAGAATGGGAGGAAGAGAGAGAGAGAGAGAGAGAGCGCATAGAAGAACAAGTATTTGCGCACCCTGACGAACTTTCGTGCACAAGACGTAAATGCGTTGTTGATCGGGGCTGTAATGAAGATTATGAAGATTATGATGATGATGATGATGATGATGATGACGATGATGATGATGATGATGACAACGACGATGTGATGATGATGGCATAACATGACGACTACGATGACGACGACGACGACGACGACAACAACGATGATGCTGTATGTTGCACTAGGGATAAATAAATTATGTCTGCCTTCAAATCAGATTACCAAGATAAGAGAGTTGAGCGTGCAGCAGATTGTCAGAGAGAGAGAGAGAGAGAGAGAGAGAGAGAGAGTGTGTGTGTGTGTGTGTGTGTGTGCGCGTGCGTGAGAGAGAGAATGAGTGGAGAAAGGGTCGATTCGGGACGGTATTTCGACTGGGCATTCAAAGGAACGGTTTTTTTCAATGCGTTTCTCGTGTTTCTTTTTAGCGGATACGTGTAATGAACACTCTGCTACGAACTCGGATTCCACGAAGGATGCGGCTGTTGGCCTACTTAAGGAATGTATTTTTTGCAAAGACACGGCAGATTCGAATGTGGATCGAAAGTCGAGCCACTTGTGCTTTCGGAAGTTTTGGAGATTTACCTCTCAAAAATTTTGAAACATCTTACTCGAGTTGGATTTGATGCTGCCTAATGTTAAGAGGTCATCAATCATAGCGTGAGCGTAATGAAAGATGAGTCCACTGTAATTAAATCCTTCAAATCAATAAGCAAATTTCAGATATTTGTGGTGCGAAATTGGATGCTGTGAAATTATAACTGGAAGCTTACCTTCAGCATTTACTGGCTAATGGTGTCAAAACGAAAATTTTTTACGAATTTAAGCTCATTCATTATACCTGTGTTTATCTATTATTTATTGGCTTGAAAGTATAGTGTTTTCATAAATGGTAAATTTTGGAGATTGTTAATCAATCTGAAATGTTCGAATGGGAGATTTGACAAATACATGATGATGACTTAATCCTTTCCCATCCATTTCTCATAAAGTGCATTTGATTTTTTTTTTATGTAAACATATTTTCTTAGTTTCTTTTTATTCTATTATTATTGTTATGATTTTTTTTTTAATTCATTAATGGAAATAGAACTCTAATTGAGAATATCAATTATCATTCGCGTAAAATTTTTAACGAAAGGGATTGTACATTCATTAAATGACGAGTAATAAAAAAAAATTAATAAACTTTATGAATGTACTTAAATCCTTTTTCATACGCATATTATTAAATTATAATCACTTAAGGTTTCTAATAATTTCAATCAGCTTTTATATAAGTGTAATTCATCTCTTGGAATAAGTAGAGTTTCAAGCTTTTGCTGTTATTCTTTATCATTCGCTTAAAGAATATTTGCAAAATATAGACTTATTAGGGGAATAGAGCTTTTGCAATTTAATATTAAATTAACTTAATTAGAAACTTTTTAAAAGAATTAACAAGTAATAAGCTGTAAAATTTACGGAAGCATTAGTTTCTTATGTAAACTGAAAGTGACGCGCAACTAAGCCATAGGCTCTTTTAAAATTCATGGTTACATACTTCCGCTCAGCGAGTAATTATTGAAGTCAATTTAGTGGCTTAAAATCGTGATTTTATGAGTTCGTAGGCTGGACGTCTCATGTATAGGCACTTGTGACGCATGTAAAGAAGTCAATTTCGTACATCCTTTCAAATTATTAAGACACAGCGTGCGTGGCACGCCTCCCGTACTTGCGTCACCAATTACAAACGCCGATTAATAACTTCAATGTGCTTTATTTCGAATGTATGTAGAAGTTGGTGTTCATTAAGCTTATCAAACGATAATAGCTTCGAGCCACGAAGAAAATTCAATGAGTCTGTAACCAAATATTACATTAGCATTTACAATTGTCAGTTTTTAAAGGTCCTACATTCATTGAAAGGACTCGCTCATACGCAAATTGATTAATGCGTCGTATTAAAATTTCGTGCAATTCAATTTAATGGTAGAATTGTTGAAAACTAAACATTCTGCAAGATCACTATTCGTTTATTAAAATTACATATTATTATCT